GTGGTCCTCCCTGTAGCACCGTGAACGGTTGGGAGATAGATGGCTCTGGCCTCCGGGTTAGGGTCCATCCTATCGATCCCGGGTACGGCGCCGATCGGATCAGCGATATTAAAGCTTGAGTCCGGAACGGTTTCACGGCGCGGCGCCGGCGGCGGTACCGGGCCTCCCGTTTCGGTAAATGTCGTGGCCAGACGGATGGCCACGGCGGAGCTAATAGCTCCCTTTAGAGCCAATGCGGTCGGAGATTCGTCCTCCTCCGCGGCGAGCGCTGCCATCACCTCGTCGCGTACGAGGGGGGCGATCTTCTCGTCCAGCAGGGCGCGGAGCGCGGTGTCCGCATGCTCCGCCACCAGTCTTGGTGCCGTTCGGTCGAGGCAAACCTGGACGACCTGAGGTAATTCCTCAGCGAGGAAATCCTCCATCCAGGTTTGTAGTCGCGGGAGTAACGCGTCGTACAGTACTTGTACGCGGTTTCCCCCACCAGCCAGTAGCCCGGCGGTGGTGTCCGAAACGGAAGGGGTCTTCTGGCCCCTGGTAGACGGCGGGCGTAGCAGGGCTTCCGGATTGTCGATCCGGGGGCGCTGTGCGCCTCTGCCACTGCTGGTACTTGCTCGCCCGGAGGCAGTATCTTCTCCGGCGGAATCCGCACGGTTCATCGTCGATGATCACTGGCGATCGACGCGGTGATTTTCGACCTCTTTCAATCCGATCGGTAATTGCTCGCGCTGGCGATCCAGTGCGGGCTCAACCTCTGTAGTTATGCCCTCCACAAGAGTACCAAAATGTGGTATAACTACCTTCGTCCCGACCTCTCGGAAACGAGAGGGGTTAGAGGTAAGGGAGCGCGCGCCGCTGGGTAACCCACGCGCGAACGCAAACCGTACGGAAGGACTCGAAAAGAGGGAAGGCTCACGTGGCCGGTGACGCGCAGCCGGTCCGTGGTGTTAGATCCGGACGGCCGGTCACGGGTTAGAAGCCTGAGACTAAAATGGAAACCGGAACGGGATAGCAATTAGCCGTAAAGGGAAGGGAGGCGAGTCTGCCCCCCGTTTACTGGAACGGGGCAGGTGCCCGCGGTCTTAACCCCTAAGTGGGACGCCAGGACACCTGTCCCCCTACAGTAGCTGTTACTTACTGTATACCAGCTACTGTGCTAAATTGGCTAATTTGTGCCATTAACTACTAATTACTAATTACTTACCGTTCGGATCCTAGACGTGTAACCAGCGGGGTACCACTGTACTCCGCACCGGCCGTGTGCTGTAAATATAACTCCTTACAGTTCTTCTCGCGCTTACAGCCCATCGTGCTGTATCCCGGGGCGGCAGCGGTGGTGCGATTGCCTTCACGCCGTTGTACTACAATTTTGATAGCGCACAAAAGCCCTGAACAGCCCCCCTCGTGCAATGAACAGCAACATCACACAGATCTAGTTCCTGCCAATCCCCCAGCTGAATCCACCCAGAAGCAGACCAGATCTGTGCAGCACGTGCTCACCATATCCCAAAGAGCCGTGATCGTTCGATGGATGGTAGCCCAATCGAACACAGGTGGCGCAAAGCATCTTCCTAGTAGGGCTGTGACCATGTTTCCTCAGTTTTTCCGAGGCAGTGCTAACGCAAATATTGCAAAAGAATCAAGACTTTGGAAGGCGAGAAGCACATTTGTCGGACGCATTGACTCCAACGGTAGGCTTACACTAAGGGGTCTGCATTCTACAATCTCTCGTAGGGTCCCGATGGGTAGAGCTCCGGTAGATCTGAAGGTTTGCACAAGACGAGGTCGAAAAAGGGCTGAATGGGTTGAAGCGTTGCATTGCGTCTGGATTGTGGAGTTTGACCGATTGAGAAAGCTTGGGGTTAAATTTAATTATCGCAACTTAAGATCACTTGGGCTTTACCTGAGGGAAAACAGCAGCAATAATCAGTATCATTCTAAAATGCTGGACCCGCGTACAAAGAAGGAATTGAAGTTCCTCATTACCCCTCGATTTACGCAGTCATTTTACGACAGATACGGTATTGTGAGTCGGGCTTTGACAGGAAAGCACAAACCAAGTCCGGCTATAATAATTCTTCTTGAAAAACAGGTTGCCTTTCATTTGGGTGTTTTGGCACGGGAATTTCGGGGTGGTTTGGTGAAAGAAGATGACATCGAAAATGCTGACGAAACGCATTTCGTCATTAATATGGATAATGGGAGAACGTTTGGTATGTCGGGCGAGTCAGAAGTTAAGTATTGTGATGCTGTGTCGGGTGGAGAAGGAATGACAATGATGGTTCGTATCAGTGGGGGCAGAGATGCAAAGATTCATCCTCCTTTTATGGTGTTCAAAAACTGTAATCGGTCCTACCCTATATGTGGTGTGCCACATAATGTTGTGGGCGTGTCGTATCGTTCAGGACCAAAAGGCTGGATGGACACAAAAGTTATGCCAGAGTGGCTCTCTGAATCGAAGGTTATTAAGGCCCTTCCTAATGAGAGGAAAAGGGTTCTGTACGTGGACAAGTGTTCCGGACACAATCAAACGGCAGAAATGTTGCACGCGGCCAACAAAATTAACACATTGATTAGATACTTTGACCCCCAACCTGACTGATTATGTGCAGCCATGCGACTCATTCGTAATCCAGAAGATAAAAAGTGCATGGTCTGTGGAGTGGGAAAAGTACAAAATGCAAATGATTATGCAAAACAAGTGGACGGATACATCTGGGAAAATTCGTAACCCTGGCAAGAAATTTTCTTGGAGCTGGCAGTCAAATCCGTCAATGCCGTTAACAAGCAGCGTGACGCTGATGGCGTTTCATACGCTAGAAAAGCTATGGCGATGACTGGAATGGCCTTAAATCTAAATGGACAATGGGAAGGTCGTCAATTGATGCCAAAGCTACAACAGATAGTGAACAAATACCGCATTCATTTTGAAGGAGAGCCCGTTAAATTTGATTAGAGTTTACTAAAACCAAAAAGCGGATCTCCGTTACACTATTTGCGTGCAATCAATTACTGTCACGCATATTATTTCATGTAAGACGCAAATTAGTGTCACGAGGAATTTGGTATCACGTACGCTAATTGATGTGGATCTTGACTCAAATCAGACACTGAAATAGCATACGTGACACTATTTGCCATAACTGGGTGTACAGTATATGGGTTTTGGCGTTCATATGCGAATTTCGTCTGCGTGTGCGGGCGGGCGTATCTCGGCGGGTTTTTGGTTTTGACGAAAAAGCCTTGGGATTTGCATTTGCGTGCGTGCTCTGCAGGGGTGATGCCTAGTTGGCGTCGCGAAACGGTGCGAGGGGTGCATTTATATGACGGGGGTGTATTTATGCAAATTTCGTGCACTGCACGTCAGTGGGAGATTTACACGTGTGACAGTTGTTGAGGGTTCGCGGCATGACGTGGCTGCCAACGAGGATGGCGGCTGCACCGCTGGACCAAATCGCATACTGCGGCTGAGGCAACAAGAACGTGATGTTGTCGATGCCTTATGACATAAAACATTGTTTTGAATATGTCTCGTTTTTAGCTGACGCGCCGCTGGATATGGAACCTCGCAGACGCACTGGGTGGCGACATTTCGGGCGGCTATGAATAAGAATATGGCGACAGGCATGGGAAAGTGTAGTTATTTTTCGGTCGCAGTGCGAAGAACCTCCATCTCTCCAGTGGACCGACTCATTCTTGGCGATAGTCCAAAGCCCCAAGTCTCTACTCTCAGCATCCAAGAACGAACAAGGACTCAACACCGGCACAGTCGTGCAGCAAGCGGCACAAGATGAAATCGATGGCGTTCATTTCAGCGATTCCGGTCTCGCGCTCAATAGGACACAGGACAGCATCAACCTGCACACGTCTTGCCAACACTTCGTTCGCCCCGAGACGCCATTTTCCTGCTCGAGTGGCGCGCCCAGATCCGTGCAATGTGCAAATGATCAATCCCAAGGTCGCTCGCATCGCGATTGCTGTGTATGGGATATTCATTGCGGGCGGTGGGCTTGGTGCGGCCGCGCTGAATTTGCATCGGTCAACGCCGAGCAATATTGCAAATACGATCGCCGGAATTCTGTTGGCTCGCGCGTTCGTCAAGAACAACGTACCTCTAGCTTTGGGCACGGCGGTTGCCCTATCTCTCGTCTTTGCCTATCGCCTTGGCCTGACGAGAAAGTTCATACCGCCAGGGGTGCTCTTGATAGCCTCTCTCGTTGCTTGTGCAGTTTTCACGGCAGCTATCTATGCATAGATGGCCTCATATGGATGAGGCTGAGATCGTGAGAGATTTAGAGATAGAGTAAGCAAGTCATGGGATGATCACGGTGGTACTTGTGGCAAGTGTTTTGTTAAATTTAACGTAGGCTTCTACTTCGGAAGCCTGAAACGTCGGCGTGCTAGTGAAGAATCCTTTCATTAGCTGAAATGTCATCACGCTGCTACCAGGGCCATGATGAAGAAGTACAGGTATATAAAGAACATAAGAAGGTGATGCACCAACTTAGCCACACAAATAGAGCGTTCCTTGTCGACATCATTGAAGATCGAGGTATTATCGAGCAGATGCTTCCGTTCTCGGTATCGCCATGCATGGAAAGTTATTAGCGGCAGGTTGAGGACGGCCGGGATGAGGAGTCCCTTCAGCAAAAGAACAGCTGTGAGAGTGACGTGTCCCAGATACTCTGGTAAAACCAAGCGGTTGATCAATTCGCACAGTTCAATAGGATTGATGTGATCCACGGTAAGGTCGGAGAATAGAATGAGAGCATAGACAGCACAGAATAATAACCCAGCTGTACCTAAAAACACACTTGACCAGAACAATACCTCAGCTGTCAACCCCATTGTGCGACTGACCCCAACACCTTACCTATCGATATTCTTCTCGATTTGATACCGCAGGATCAATCAGCACATCCTTGGGTTCGACTGGATGTTACCGATCCGTTGGCAGCAGGAGTAACCAAACTGCGGTCGTTGAAGATGAAAGAAAGCTCAAGATGAGTATCAGTACTTGTACTTGTTCTCAGCGACACCAGATTCAATTGTGCAGTTCCCACGACTTGGTAGCGCGCCTTTTAGCCGCAAACAGGACGCCTGCGCGATGCCGTTTTGAGAGATCACCGGACGATTCCGATGAAAGATGGCCGAAGCCGGAGTCTGAGCGACTTCCAGAGAGGAAAGATGCATCAGTGATGCAACGAGGCCTCGATTTTCGGACAATTGGCGGGCCCCTGTTTTCACCTAATTTTCAAGTCTCAATTTACCTCTCACGAGCACTACAGTACCCAATCGTCTTCTCGCGTGTCGAGGCATTCTCGCTCGTCGGCCCCTTGCGTACTTCTCACTTAATGTATGAAAGAGGCTTAGACCCTCATTAGCTTCAACTTGCGCTTCTAAAAGGCGCGGCGGAATTGAAACGCCATGACTGAGGCCATGTAAGCAAGAGTCATACCATGAAAACAACAAACGACATCGGCTCACCGTTGCCAAGAAAGCGGGAGCGGCGGCACTTCGTGGTCTTTGAAAGAGATCCTGCCGCTGCGAAAGCGCGCCTGGAACTTCCAGTATGCATGCACGAACAAGAGATAATGGAGGTTGTCCATGCGAACGATGTCGTCTTAATCTCTGGGGCGACAGGGACAGGAAAGACGACTCAGGTCCCGCAGTTCTTGCTAGAGGATGGCTTTGGAGACCCTCGCGCGCCAGTTCACAAAGGGATTGTGGCTGTGACGCAACCGCGTCGAGTGGCGGCTGTGACGTGTGCGAATCGAGTCGCTTTTGAACTGAAATCTCAGGTCGGCGATATCGTTGGCTATCAAATCAGACATGCGGCGAAGCTCGGGGCCGAGGTTAGGGCCAAGTTTGTCACCGATGGGATTTTGCTTCGTGAGGCGGAGAACGATATTTTGCTAAAGCGCTATTCGGCAGTTGTGGTTGACGAGGTGCATGAACGGTCCTTAAACACAGATCTATTGCTTTCCTTCTTGTCTCGAACGGTGACGTTGAGGAGGGAAAATCCTGGAACGCTAGGTCCGCTCAAAGTTATTGTGATGTCTGCCACACTCGATGTCGAGGGCGTCTTTCGTGGTGACGAAGCCCTGTTTCCGAACCCTCCCGTTGTAAAAGTTCCTTCTCGCCAGTACAGCGTAACCATGCATTTTGCGAAGAGAACCTCCGAGGATTACGTCGAGGAGGCATACAAGAAGGTGGACAAGATTCACCGACGGCTTCCCCGCGGAGGAATTTTAGTGTTTTTGACAGGGCGTCAAGAAGTTGCAGACTTGTGTTCCCGATTGGACAAACATTTTGCAAATAGAAAAGTCAAAATCCAGGGGGATACGGGATCAGAAATCGGTATCAAAGTCCTTCCGTTCTATGCGCTTCTCTCGGATAGAAGACAAAGAGGTGTTTTCGACGACTGTGGACAGGATGTGCGAAAAGTGGTTGTTGCGACCAATATCGCCGAAACTTCTGTGACAGTTCCAGGCATCTCGTACGTCGTTGACTCTGGGCGTGCGAAAGAAAAGGTTTACAAAGGAGAAGGAGCTCATGCGCTCTCAGCGTATGAGATTCGATGGGTGTCGAAGGCGAGCGCAGACCAGCGGGCTGGCCGGGCTGGGCGAACTGGCCCTGGCCATTGCTACCGCTTGTATTCGTCAGCCGTCTTCGATAGACAATTTGACGCTTTTCGAGAGCCGGAAGTCCTCCGGACACCGACAGATTCCGTAGTCTTGAGATTGCGAGCGATGGGCATCAAGAACGTTTCAAAGTTCCCGTTTCCAACGCGACCTTGCGAAAAAGATCTTGCAGCCTCAGAAAAGTTGTTGGCTGACCTCGGAGCTTTGCATGAACCAGGAAGAATTCCTTCTTTGGACATCGGGAGCGGTTTTAGCAAGGGGATCGAGCCTAATGGAACAGACCTTCTTGGCGTGACTAAGCTCGGGAAGAGTCTAGCAAAACTGCCGATATCGCCGCGTTTCGGAAAGATGCTTCTCTCTGCGTTGTCAAGCAAGCTGCCCTTGAACGAAGGGGAGCGACAAGCAACTGCACGCTACACATGCCGCATTGCCGGCGTCTTAACGGTTGGCACAGTCTTTGATAGAACAAGTGAATCGTGGCGAGAGAAGCATCTGGTCTTCCAGCATCGGAGGAGCGAAATTCTAACAGAGCTCTCCGCCGTGTGCGCCGTGGAGCATGCCGGTATCCAAGGCAGCAGAAGGGCGCGGTACTCTGTGAAAAGCCTCGACACCCAAGCAATGCGGGAGGTGTGCAAGAGCTACTCACTGCATTTCAAATCCGTCACTGAGGCGCTTGAAATCGGCTACCAACTCGAGAAGCATCTGTGGGGCAGCGAGCGTCCCGCGGCCGCGTCCCTCCTCCCGCCGAGCAAAATAGTAGAAGAGTGCATTCTGCGAGCCGTGTTGACCGGGCTACCGGACAGGATTGCGCGGCGCATGACGCGCGACGAGGGCATCGCCATGGGCGTCATCCCGAGAAGAAGGCGCAAGGCGTTCACGGTGCTCGGGGACGGCGGCGCCGTCTACTTAGAGGAGTCGTCCTCGATCTTCCTGAACGGGGGTGTCGAGTTCGTGAGCTTCAGTAGTCTCAATGAAATCGAGCTACGAAGGAAAAGGCGGCGCGCAGAGGACGACGATGAACAAAGGGACGACTACGAGTCCAGCAGCGACGACGAGCGCGCTCCCGGCGACGACGAGCCGCAGCCTGAGGAAGGCAACCCTGCTACGGAGCAAGGTGTCAACGGCGCAGAGGCGGTACCTACCAAAGTGATCCTACGCGGAGCCTCTGTGATATCCCCAGCCTGGCTGACGACGGACGCGACCAGCATGTGCCACTTCGACAGCCCGTCCGGCGGGGCGAGCGCGCCGTCGTACGACAGCGGCACGGACACGGTGGTGGAAGAATCGAGCGTACGGTACGGACACTGGCCTCTCGGGGTGGCGAAAGTGCCCGTGGGGTTGCTGGCGCTCTGCCGCAAGGGAAGCGATACGCGCAGCTCCACGGGGAGCGCGGCGCAGTACCGTGCGCTGGCGGCGGCCGTCGTGACCGGGCGCGTGCGGCCGGGGCTGCGCGTGGATTTCGAGAAGGAGGGCACGGACCGAAGCGGCAGGGTGTGCGTGCAGCGCGTGGCGGACGAGATGCGCAGAAGGGCGTGCGCGCTCAGCGCGCAGGGTTTGGCGAAGGCCGTGGTCGACGTGGACTGGCTCACGCCTGCGGTGGAGGCGTGCGTGGGCGCGCGGTTTCGCGCGGCGGTTAGAAAACGGTATGAGGAGGCGGTCAGACGGATGGTGCAGGAGTTTAGCGACGGGGAGGGAGACGGGGCGCGGAAGCATGAGGGAGAGCATAGCGGCGGGGAGGATGATGGGGAGGAGGACGGGGAGGAGGAATAACACGGTGTTATTGTCGTTGGTAGCAAGTCCACTGGCGATGGCTGCTTTTTCTCCGTTTCTAATTTAATTGGCCTGCGGGTGATGCGATTGAATGCATCTCTTTCCCAAAAGCGCCTCCCCCCATCCTTCAACCTGCTTTTCGCAAGTAGTCGCCCTCGCAATCCAGTCCTCTTCTTCCCTTCATGCGCGCTCACCAGGACACCAAGTGCAACCCAACGATGCTCAACGTCTGACACCGCCTACGCAAACCCCTCCATCCCAGCGATCACACCAAGCGGCCCTCACACACAACCCCACCACTCGCCTTCCACCCCGCAACCTCACGCCCGGAAATGGGCGCTAACACTTCTTCCCTGCTCTCGGAGGAAATCGACGAGATCTCCCGTCAGGCCGACCTGCCGCGCTTGGAAGTGAAGCGTCTGTACAAGCGGTTCCAGAAGCTAGACCGCACGCAATCCGGCACGCTGGACGCGGACGAGCTGCTCATGATACCGGAGCTGTCGATGAACCCGCTGCATCCCCGCCTGCTCGCCGTGTTCGAAAACGTCAACTTTCATGAGTTCGTTAATAACATCGCCGCCTTCAGCCCCAGCGGCGCGGAGGAGAAGAAGGTCGACTTTGCGTTCAAGGTCTACGACGTGGACGCCGACGGCTTCATCTCCAAGCACGACTTAGACACCGTCATACGCATGCTCGTGGGCGAGCATATTCCTGATGAAACCGTGCAGGAGGTCGTGGCCAGGGTTGTCGAGGCAGCCGATTTGGACAAGGATGGAAGGATTTCGAGGTCCGAGTTTACATCCGCTGTGGACGTCGCCGACCTTGCTTCAAGGTTGACAGTGTCCTTTTGAGGGGGGTGTGCAGTTTCGCAATTTTGGCTCTTACAATGTTGGCAAGCGGTGCGAGGTTGCGTGTGGAAACCTGCCGCTCATGAACTCCTATTTTATATACAGTATCGCACTCGTAACTCTGCTTGCATCCCTGCGATTCTGACAAAGGCTCCTGGTTCAAAAATGTTAACTCGTTGCCGACTCAAAACCGGACTATTTGAAGTTCTCCTGGACTTGCCCGTGCCGCACTTCGATCTACTTGAGAAGATTTTTTGGCTTGCTGGTGCGAAGCCATCCGAGTGGGCTATCGTCAAACAAGCGTTTCCTCCACACGGGTGTGTACACGCGAATTGGCAAGGGGACCTCCTTCTTGTAATTACTCCACTGCGACCTGGCCGAATGCTTCTCGACCGCCTGATGATAAATGGTTATAGTAAATTTGGCCAACGCCGCACGCATAGAGTATACGAGCACATTTGTCAACCTGGCCTGCTCGTGCTCCGGGAACGTACCTGCGATAAGCGGATAGAGCAACCCCCTCTCTGTCTTATGCAACCTCTCTGTATCCTCAATAATTTCACCCATCTCCTTTGCAAGCACCAAAACTTCATCCGGGTTCATCGCCCTCAACTTGTTTCCTACCGCTGTCTTCCCTTCCTCTTCCGTCGGACTGTAGCCCTCCCTGATCTGCATGTTGGCTTTCTTCCTCCTCACTTGCTCACTCTCCCCCGACTCCCCATTCAATGCTGCTTGTCTCATCTTTTTATCCTGGCGCTCCCTCCTCCTCTTTCCCCTCCTCTTCTTACTTGCACACTGGCGTTTCCTCCTACACGGGCCCATGGACGAGTACGCGTACCCGGTGCTACAAACGGCCCTCGAAAACCTGTTATGCAACATATCGACAGTATCCTCGATACGATCCCTCTCCTTCCCAAAAAGCAGTAAAGCCCTCGCGACAGCGTAATTCTCCGGCACGCCTTTCGCGACCCACGGAAACAACACGTCCTTCTCCAGCGAGTTATACACGTCCCACACATTGTCCACCAAGTACGCGTACGACCTCTCGAGTTTAACAACCGCGGCAGCCATGCTCTCGACGGGGAATTCCTCTGCGCGGCTGGCCTGGGCGTGCAGCTCGCGCAGAAAGAGCGCCATGCGGCGCAAGTCCTGGCTAATGTAGAGGTGGTGCCACGTGAGGCCGTTGAGGTGGAAGCGGCTGGTCCAGTCGCGGCGGTCGTGTTGTGGGTCGCGCGCCTCGTTTGCTGCGACGCGCAGCGCGCGCCGCGCGCGCCATCGCGTCAGCGTCGCGCGCGGCGTGAAGATGGGCAGGAAGCGCAAGGCGGTGAGCGCGGAGGAGACGGCGCGCAGCACGCGCTGCGGGCGCAGCGGGCGCGGGCGCCGCCCGTCGGACCCAGACGTTGCCAGCATGACGGAGGTCGCGACGGCGGGCGAAGGCATGGCTTGTGGGGCGATGGGGGGCGGGGGCCGGCTCGAAGCCCGGGGTGGTGGTCAGTGGAAGGGTGTGCGGGGATCGTTAGGAACGGCCCTCGAGCGGAAAAAGAGGAGGAGGAGGAATAAAGGGATGTGCAAATGTTGAGAGACGACCAATCGTCATCGCCTGTGCCACTTGATTCGACCCCTCATCCGTACACGTGTCACGGGCTTTCTACTGGAAACGACTTTGGATCAAACTCCGCACATGATCCAATGTTTGTCACGGCCCACGTAGTCACTTTCGTCACCATCCGTCACCCTCTCCGTCACCTCATTCTTCCGTCGGCGAAGGCGTAGCAACCGTAGTGCGTGTGCAATCGCAAGGCCTCCGCATCCCCTTGCCTTGCCTTCCCCACCCGTGCCAAAACCAAAATGCCGCACGAGCACCCCCTCCCCGCCCCCACGAACAGGATCGTGCGCTCGACGCACTTCAAGAAGCGTCGGCAAGTGCTGAAGCGGCAAAAGTCTGCCGCGCGTCGCGCGCGTCATGCGGAGGAGGAGGCATTGGGCGATGCCGCGCCACCGCGGCGCGAGCCGACGACCATCGAGTCGAGCCGCGTGTTTGACGCGGAGACGGGCGCCCCGCTGACGCGCGAGCAGGCGCTGGCCATCACGGACGAGTTCACGCCCGTGCTCGCCGGCGACGTGCGCCCGCGCGTCGTCATCACCACCGGCCTGCGGCCGTCCGACGTCAGCTTCGACTTCGTCAAGGCCCTGCTGCCCGTGCTGCCCAAGTCCATCTACTTCGAGCGCCTCGACGCTTCCGTCGCTGAGTTTGCGGCAAGCGCCGCGGGAAAGGGGTACACGGACGTTGTCCTCGTCAAGGAGGATCGTGGCGCTTTGTCCACCCTCACGCATGTGCACTTGCCTGAGGGACCTACGGCAGTGTACAAGCTATCGTCGTTTGTTCCGAACGCCAAGATAAAGGGGCGTGGGAGATGTACGGGGCATACGCCAGAGGTGATTTTGAACCACTTTACGACTAGACTGGGGCTTAGAGTCGGCAGGATGTTGGGGTCATTGTTTCCGCATGAACCCAATTTCGTGGGGCGGCAGGTCGCGACGTTTCATAACCAGAGAGACTTTATTTTTTTTAGGTTTCATCGCTATGTATTTACCGCCGAGAGGGATCGCGCTCGCCTGCAGGAGCTTGGACCTAGGTTTACGCTTAAGCTCCGTGCATTACAGAAGGGAGTGTTTATGGATCCGCAAAAGGCTGACCATGAGTTCAAGTGGAAGACGAAGACCGACATCGATAGACGCAGGTTCTTCTTGTAGCCAGCTCAATGCGTATCATGTAAAGAGTCGCTCAAGACGCGCATACTTGCCAATCCTTGCACGTTTTATATCTTCGTACTCCTGTAAATGTACAGATTCCTGAAAGCGTCTTTTTTTCTTCTTCTTTCTTGCTTCGACAATCGAAGCCAAAACCTGTTTCGACGAGTCACAAATCGCTCCGCAATTAGAGATCAAGGAGAAAACAAGACTGTGTAACTAGATAAGGGATACTGAACAGCAAGTAACTTCTACCAGAGGCCGAGGCAAAATAGGAAAAAGACGAAATAAGGATAGGGGCTAGGGATAAGGGCTAGGGATAAGGGCTTTTAGGGATCGGAAAAGGGGATCGCGGCTAAAGGACACTGAGTAAAGACTAGGACGCAAGAAAGTCTAAGGCGAGCGCAGCAAGAACTTTTGCAGTCGCTTCCAAAGCACAGGAATTGAGCAACAAGGGATTTCGTGTCGCGCCGAGCTTTGGGCCTGGCTCGTACAGAATCAACAATTGTGTTTCCTCCCCTGCCACAAATCATGATCCCAAAAAGCGCGAAGCACAGCACCCTTCTTGGCACATTCAGCGAAGGGCAGGAGAGAGAAAGAGAGAAAGAGAGAAAGAGAGAAAGAGAGAAACGAGCGCTCCTGCCTGCAAAAGGGGTTTGAAGAAATGGGGATTGCCAGATTAGAAAAGCACTCATAACCCGCACCGACGGCTGTGAGTCTTCTCGATACAACAAAGTGTCACGGTGACCCGCTGGAAACATGTCGTAGGCTTCCATACGGACTAGTATCACACAATCGGCCACGTCACACAGCTCCAGACCAAGCTTTTGGCTTCGCAGGGCCTTGCCTCTTTTCTGGTGACGCTATTCGATGCTGATAGTTGTATAAAGGAATGATCGCACCCCTCCAGACATACTTACTATGTTTTCTCCTGCAAGCCAGATCAACACGCTTGGTTTTCAAGCAGATAGCCTGGAGGACCTGATGGTTGCAGTGTATACCGACATTTAGAGCTACGGCAAACCGTGATGACGCAGGCGTCGTCGAGTGCGAGTTGGATACCCATCGACAACTGCGCAGCAGCGAGTAATAGAGAAACGTCAAATCATCGGGATAATGGACAGGCTGATGGAGTCGGAGATGGGTACGGGGGGAGGGGAAAGAGAGAGAGAAAGAGAAGGAGGGCTACAGACGGAAAAGAAGATTGCACGAGACCGTCAAACTTCATACGCGGCCTATTGGCCAAACCCCTGTTGCTCCGTTCCTCCAAAGCCGCCAGTTTGAGCACCAAAACCGGTTCCAGTCGGGGCACCAAATCCGCTTCCTCCTTGAGCTCCAAAGACACCTGCTGGATGGGCATCAAAACCGGCGCCAGTTTGTGCCGGGGCGGCAGTCGGTGCGCCAAAGTTGAAGCCTCCGTCGGGAGCTGGGTCAACTCCAAACCCAAACTGCGAGGCTGACTGGTCAGGAACAACACCATCAATCTCATCTTCAGCCAAAAAGAAAACTTCCAAGAGGCGAACAGCCTTTTCATACACCTCTTCATTCGAGTGATGCTGGAGAGCCTCAATCTTGTCGAGGCCGCCAACCGCTTCAATTGCGCGAGCATAATCATTGTACTCGGCACCAGTGGTATCCCGTTCCCTTTGTCCCTTACGCAGGATATTCTCAAGACCTTCCAGAGCGACACTGATGATTCTGGCATCATGGATAACCAGCAAATTGCACAACGGCTCAAGGCAACCCTGCTGAACGAGATATTTGACCTGATCCGGAGTACCACCTGACGTAGCATTGGAAATGGCCCATGCGGCCTCCTTCTTGACGTCAAAGTCAGCGTTGGTCAGGATATCAATGAGAGGGGGCACCAGGTTTGCTTCCAAGACAGCATTGATCTGCTCCTGATTTCCAGCAGTGATATTAGAAATTGTCCAGCAAGCCTCCTTCCTGATTGACTTCTTGGGTGAGTTGAGCAAGTTGAGGAGACAGGGCAGGGCCGACACATTAATGACAAACTGGGTCTGTACATCATTACCGGTGACAATGTTGCCGACTGTACGCAGAGATGGGGTCTGCACGGAGACATTCTGGTGCAGGAGGAGCTCGACAAGTCGCTTGACGACTCCACTCTCAACGACTGCCTTGATCTTGTCATTGCTGCCATCCGAGAGATACGACAGGGCCCAGCAGGCATCGGTGAGAACTTCCTCATCATCATAATATATGAGATGAGCAAGGGTCTCAAGGGCGGGCTTGACGAGCTCAAATTTGGGGGCGGGCTTGCCGCGGCAGAGGTTGGACAGAGTCCAGGAGGCGTTGCGAAGCATGGTGACCTTGGAGTCGGCGGTGAGCTGCATGAGCAGCGGGTGGAGGGCGCCCGAGTCGAGAACGAGATCACGGCACTTGGATGAGTCGCCGGCGATGTTGCCCAAAGCCCAGACGGCCTGCTCCCTGACATCATCATTCGGAGAGTTGAGGAGGTAGACAAAGACGGGGACGGCACCATTGTCTATAACGACCCTGGTGTGCGACGAGGTGCCCGAGGCAATGTTCGTAAGCGACCATGCGGCCTCGAACTGGAGCTGCGGGTTGGAATCATCGCTGAGAAACTCGACGAAGCGAGGGACGACGTTCTGAGCAATAACCTCCTCGATGGGGGGGTTCCTCTCAATGGAGAGGAGCCTGCGGAACTCCAGGGTGTGCTGGACCTGATCCTGGGGGTTGTCCGAGAGGACGCCGGCGACCATTTGCGGCATGCGAGCGTACAGCGTGGCCGCGAGCGAGTTGTTGGAGTCGGTGGCCGAGATGTCGATATCGTTGGGGGTGCCGAACGAAGAAGCGCCCATCTTCTCGCGACGCTTCTTCATGAGGTTCTCCTCCCGCTTGGCCTTACGGATGCCGACCATGGTGTCCTCCCGCTGGCGGCGGGCCTCATCCCTGTCGATGGCCTTCTTGAACCGGCCGCGGCGCAGGTCTTGTTTGGTGACACGCTCGGACATGGCGGGTGGGGCAGGGGAAGCTTCAGGGACTCGGTCTGCGGAGGGGGGCGCGGACGACGTGAGCGCCGGCGGGCTTGTAGCGGCAGCGAGTGAGCGGGTGCACGGGAGCGCTCGTCACGTGTGTGCGAGAGCGAGGCGGCGCGTAGTGGGGCGCACGCAGAAGCGGAGGAAGGGGGCGGGAGGAAGCAGGGCAGGCAGGGCGAGAGTGGGTGGAGTTGCAGGCACGCTGGAAGCCGTGCGGAAGGTGGAGGTGTGCAAGCGGTGATCGGGG